AATTTTAGATATTTTTGTTTACCTAAAATACCAAAACCGTGAGAACTGTTGGAACGGAACTGTCGATAATAATTAATCACCGGGCCCGCGAAGAAAGGCATGTGACCGGGATCGGTGCGAGCGTGAGTGTTATATTTTATATTGGCGGTGGCCACAAGTCAAATGACCAACGACTGCTGCAGCTGGTGTTCCTGCTCGGTGCTATATAATATTATTTATATACATATCAATTCCACCGCGGCTCATTTATCCTCACCGCCACAACCGGAAACCGATCGGCATTATCCCTCTTATTTACATTTAAACGAGATCTCGCGTGTCTCTCGTCCTACCGGAGGCCTATATCCAATACCGTCACCATATATTGATATACATACAGACCCTCGGCCTTATTAGTGTGCGGACACGCGCTAAACAAACCGAGGCGGCTTATTATTATATTGTGCCCTTCTTGTACGCCTCCCAAAACCAATCCGTGCGTCCCGCACTGGTGCGGTCACTCGTGATAATATGTCAGATGCGATTTTCCAAATAATCAGCTTTCACGGTTCTCCAATCACCGGTCGGGCCAATCCATATTATAACTCATCAATTTGACTTCTCCGGACGTTTATGGGTTTGTAGTTTGAACTCATTTGAGTCCAAAGTTTAGCCATTCGGTTGGTCGGTCTTGTCGCACTTATACTCCTAGTCTCCTCCGCGCAAACACATCACCGACGACCCTTCGGCCGGCTTATCCAGAAGTTTGTGTGAGCTACCAAACCGCACTATGCGCTTTAATTCAAGTACACATTACATTTTGCATGATTTATATTTACGTGCGAACCAATCGGTCACCGGTATTGTCGCTCGAACGCCCAAACGATATTACTATTAAAAGTCTTAATGATATTTTACGTTCTAATTTAAAATGTATCTGTGTCTACACACTAAGTCGGAAGTACACACAGCAGCCGGAAACTATGATTCACCTTGCCAAAACGTAGGACCAAATCCGTGTATTATCCAGAGCATTAAATACCGCCAATTATCGTGTCGCAATCAATATGTCTTGTCAAATGGTATACACGTGGTATTGATAAAAGACAGGCGCAGATCCAAGGGGGAGTGCAAATTAGCTTGAAATTTATTGCAAAATTACAATTGCTAAACATGTTTTTAAAACTGGACATAATATTACCAATATTATCTATAGAGAATTATTTAACTATTGTTAAAAAAATTGACATTATGATTATATATTAATGTATAATATATAATCATAATAAATACCCAAAATAATTAATATTTAAATTCAGTTTTAGAAAGTTATAATATTCATAAAGAAATAAAAAATAATGGATTTATCAATATTTTAAATATACAAAAATAACCCTCTATTTAGTATTTACTTACACATTTTAAATATATCAGTGATAACACAAATGTATTACTATTTGCTATACGTGTATTTTATAAAAAAATTGTATGCGAGTTTGATATGTTGTTAATTTTAATAATTTTGTCAATGTGAATTTTATGTAACCTGTTAAGGGGCAAAACACTGAAACTAGTAGTTAGTAATAAAACATTTTTAACACTCTATTGCCGGGTTGCACCAAATATTTACACAGAGCTAAACTCGATTAACTGGAGTTAAAATAAATACTGTTGCACAAACCATGTTTTAAATTTTATCTGTTGTTAAAAATGTACTTTATCACAAGTTAAATTAAAGAGTCATTTATCGCTGTGTAAAAATGTATGAATAGTTAAATTTTGTTATCAATTTTTTGCGTTAAAGTGATGATAATGGAATTATCATTAATTAGACCCTTTATGATAATAATATTACCTCCTACTGCTGATGCCTGATGCCATTTATTCGATAACCAGTATACAGGTAATAACCTGAATATAAAACAACGATTGAGCAACACTTGTAAATTAAACACATGTTAGTTTAACAAAAGATAAAGTTTAACAAAAGTTAGTTTATTGCGGTGGTAAATAATTTATCAATAAATAACGACAAGTTTGGTGCAACCGGGCTTATAACTATGTTTTTACATAATAGTTATTATATTATTGAAAAAACTAAATTTTCCTCTAGGGGGATGGATGAAATATTCGAGTATCCGTACCTTTCTTTCTCCCCTCCTGATAAATGCATTAACCGCCCCTTCAATCACATATTGGATGTACGCCTGACGAAGAGAGTAGTAATTAGTTATTTTTTCATAAGGGTTTTTATTATCTTCTCTTACTATATCTTAGGGTTCAATGAAAACAAAACAATGTCATCATTTCTACCATACGCTTCTAAGAATATGAGTACATTCTTATAGCCCGTTTGTTTCACTCAACGTTCGTACTGGAAGACTATTGGACTGTAAATCTTGATCCATTTTTTAAGACGTCTTTGCGGTTGAAACGTGAGAACGAGCTGTGTCGTGAGATAAAAAACACTCGCATCAAACGCGTTTATCCAGTACAAATACCCGAATCGTTTCCTCCCCAGCCCTCGGATGCCGCATGCTCCGAGACAACTTTATAACCACCCACTATACTTGATCCATAAGACGCTGTTGTCGTTTGATTTACGAGGTATAATGACTACGAGAGGGAAAAAAAATAAACGACAAATTGCCGTTGCACGTCGACCACGTGTCTACTCTTCGCACAAATCGCTCCGTTGTCTGTTTCACTATCCAAGTGTTTGCAGCGATTTGGTCACGTTTTTCGTATAACATATAGGTATCTATATATATATATATATATAAATTATGTAAGACTACCCCAGTACCGAACGTTTATATGCTTTCTGCAGACAGCTCTTCCTGTAAAACGATCTCGACAAGAGCCGTCAAACACGATCATCCGCGTAGTGGTGGGATTTTCTTCGCCAAAGAAGCACACCACTATTACCTATACGTATATATTATGTACATGTACTATATTAAACGTGTCTAGTGGCGCACGCCGGTCTGACTTGTCATCGGTGTTTTATCGCCCCGGGGGTTGAGAAAAACGAGACGAGCACTGCTAATGGCCAGTCGATTATACGTGTTAAAAGAGCTGTTTACAGCTTGTAAGCCGATAAATCACTAGGCGACGACCCGAGCAGTCTGAGCGTTCCCTTTACGCGACTAGTAGCAGTCTCATGTCACAAATCATATGTATACAAGCGTCGTCGTGTTGGAATGATAATTTATTTATGTTTTTCCTGAGACGGTCCAGGATGTGTGAGCACTCAAGGGGTGGTGGGTGAAGCGACGGACAACGATCATTTGATGTAATTTATGCGGATACCGAAATAGCCGGACGGACGTTATATTTTGGCAATCTCTATATGAATTTCAGTACGTGACTTAAGACCGATACGAAAACGCAAGTCGCACCTCAAAAGACCGCAAGGTCTTATGTGTTATTATGTAGTACACTAACTGTTCTTAACGAGTAAAATAATGCACACTAACGTTTTGTAGCATTATCGACAATATTGAAGTACATTATTGAATATTCGAAAATGTTTATCGACAGCAGACTCAAAACATTTTTTTTCAACCTTATGAAATATTTATGTTTTAAAATGAAGAAATACTTAAAATTTCAGCCTTCTAGGACAACTCTAAGTGGTTCCTATGGAGACATATTCCCCCCCCCCCCATTGATTTTAGACCTAAAAAATACATGTTTCATTATAATCGTCATAACTTAAAAAATTATAAATATAATTTAAACTTACAAAAAAATTCTGAAGGCTAACACTTTCACCTTAAATATGCTTTACTAGACATTATTATCTTAAAATAACGTAATTAAATTAGAAACAATCTCAGAAAAATACATAGGTGGTCTAACTAAATTTTTAGTTGGCCCAACTATTTATTTAGTTAACCCAACTAGAAATGTATTGTCTTTATATTAACCATAATTTTTGTTGGGCCAACTATGTATTTTTTCTCGTGATGTTTTAAAGATACGTATAAATCATATACATATATTTTTACAGATATGACGAATAAGTCATTTGTAATTAATTAAAAAACGGAGAAAAATACAGTTGTATATAAGTATTTTTTAGGTATAAGAATCAGCTTATAGAATACTTTTATATATTAAAATAATATCGGAATAAAAAAATACAAAAATTAGGGACTGTCTAATTAATTAATATATTAATAAATCAATAAATCTATTTATGTTTATTTTTATTTAAGTTCTCGTGTGCTATTTAAGCCGAATTAGTTAACTCCTGAAATAAAAAAACTAATTTTTATCACGCCACTTTTGTTTAAGCTACGTACATAAACATATTAATAGCAAATGTAATTCACAGTATATATTACATAAAAAAACAGTCAATTGTGTGGAGGCTTGTCCACTTAAGTGATTATTTCTTAAAACTCCTTTAAGCCTCTAACAATTTAGCTACTATCATTTATATTATGTATAATTTAACCCAGAATCATTGTTGATGAACTCAAATTTATCAACCTAACTTCAACTTAGATAAATTCAACTAACAATTTCTTATTATAAAATATATATATTATTTTCATAATCATTTTTAATATAAATGTGTTATATTGACCTTATTAATAGCCTTTGGTCTTTATGATTTATATTCCGTTTTACTTATTCGGTTTATTTCTTGGGATGCTTTGGGGACAAGTTTGACTTGTGATAGCACGGCGAGCGCTGAATAGAAATAAAAACAGGCGCCAACAATTAAATACATAGTATATTATTATATGACCCTATAATATATACCTATTACCTATATGATACCGTACACCGTTTGGCAGCGTTGCACACGTTTAATAGATGTTCAATGGAGTGCTGACAAGCACTTCAGTTGCAACAGAACAATAATAATACTTATTTTTTTTGTAAAACTACTGCGTATCAAAATTGATATTCACGCGTACATTTTTGCTTATCGATGCCCGCAATTGTAGCCCAACCTTTATGGTATTAGGTATTGAAGTTTAGTAATCGATACATTATGATTCCAGTATGGGCAGAGACGGGAGACTTCCGGGACAACAATCACCACGGTCTTACGTCAGACCACACGTCGCAGTTGAACTTCGGATCGTCCAGGAGTAGAAACCGGGACAGAAAAGGTAACTATCCTAAGGACTTAACGCCAAGCGGGTGCTCTCAAATAAAGATGTTTGCGAGTTTCTTAATCTAATACGAAATGACTTTGCAGGACGACCGGACGCTATCGGTGCCACCGGCATCAAAACCGAAGGGATCGACCCGGGCGTAGGGGCGGTCACCGACGACAGTAAGGACCCCAACTTAAAAAATAACAAGAACAATAAACGACAGAGGAGACAGAGAACACACTTTACATCGCAACAGCTTCAGGAGTTGGAGGCGACGTTTACTAGGAACCGTTACCCAGACATGAGCACCAGAGAAGAGATAGCCATGTGGACGAATCTCACCGAGGCCCGAGTCCGGGTGAGTGTAAAACAGCATACTAATCGCATGTAAATAGGACGTGTCGCTCGGACGTGTATTTCTCGGTTTTAATTTCTCCCATATTCTCTCTACCCTTTCCCCGGGCATCAACGTAAATGATTATTTTTATCATCCGACTACTGGTTATTGGATTTGCACAGGGCTCACTGCGTCAACGTTTTCGGATCCCTAACAATCCCCGGGATTGTCCCTTTTGCGGCGGCGGTGGTGGTGGCGGTGCCGGACTAGGGTAAGCGGAGTATAAAATGAGTAACCGATTGACAAAAAAAAAAAAAAGCACGGGAGCTCGCGTGGCGGGCAAAGTCATCCGCACTGATGGACGAGGGAGGCGGTATCGCTGTAGGGATAATCCTTTACGGTTTATATTAATAGTGATGTACACTGTATACATATTATACGTTTAAATCTGGCGTGTCTGAACGTTGTCAGTTTTTCAGTCGCGGCTTTAGACTGCAGTTTTGGCTTTCACGTCCCGCTAGCACGTTACTATTGTAAATGTTAATCAAATATCCCCACATCTCCTCTGTTCGACTCCCTATATTTCATCCAATTTTCTTGTCCATTTCATTTGGATTACTCTACAGTGCCCGTCTACGGTATCAAATCGACCGATATTATTAGTATTGCAAATTACTATTTAAATCAACTCGTCGGCTTTTAACATCCATATTACAATGTGTACGTTGTATAATCGCATTAATACGTGCACAACCAACTCACCATCGGTTTGTTCGAACCCATATACAAACAATACAGCTGTAATTTATTACACACAATTTAAACCCAAAATATTTAATTAGTTTTTTTGCGACTTTACATAGATTATTTATAATGTACAATAATAAAATACAAAAAATAATCGAATAAAAAAAAATGATTGAAATAATTATTTTTTAAATTATTCGAATAACTTTTACTTGAACAATATGTTAATTTAGATAAAGTTTTATTCGAATGATGTATCACTCTGATTATATTCAAAGAAATGAGTGTCTTACGTTGAATGGATCAATCTGTAATGTTGTTGACCGAAAATACATTTTTTAAGCACTGCCGCTTTCTCTGTTCTATTGATAATCGTGGGATATCCTGAATGGCAGTTTTCCGTTCTAGAAATTATATGTATTATCATTATTTATAAATAAATTTTATCAAAAGGCGAAAAATTAGAAGTTACAAACCATTAACACGCTCATTGAATGTATATATTATGCGTTTAATAAAATAAAATAATGTATAATAAATACACGTGTGAGTATTGAGCTCTGTTTTCGGCCGCATGCCAACAGGCGGTTTTAAACTATTATACATGTATAGGTAAAGTACACCCAACGAGGGGGTTGACAATCTGGATTTTTCGTTCGCCATTTTGCGCTTCCCCTTTACTTTCCTCTCACCGGCTGCTATATACGGTCACCGGGTTAGGCTTCAACAGAGAGATTATTGTTTTTATACGACCTGCGTGCGGTATTTATAAGCACGTAAGCTCGAATCGAGCGCAGTAAAACCGCATAAATATGGCTTTTTAACACATTTAACGAGTATCACCGTCATTAAATTTAATTTCCCTTTTACGTTTAATATGATTTATAAAAACGATGTGGGCCACATCAAAACCACAAGTATCACAATGTGAAAGGACTATCAACTAATACAAAATATCATAGTACCTGTTTTCACAAAATTAGTTGTAGTTTTATTAGATTGTGTATGTGTGTATAATATCTGTAATGGCGCAGAATTAACATGATATGTATATTTTCGTACCTGATTTTAAACGTGCGACAACGCAGAAAAAAAAACATTATAAAGTAAATAGTACTTATAACTCTTTCTCGCTTGCTTGTGTGCCAAACACAAATATTATACGTTTTTTGACCGATTTTTTTTTTAACGAAAAAAAAAACATTCTCGATAAATATTCTAATCAGTCGGCGTTGGTTTTCAACGAAAAAAGTCAATACGCCGTCACACGTGTAATCGTTGTACTTACACATGTTATTGTGTTATCAGTCAAATAAGAGGACAGATAGGATGACAAATATTGTGTAGGAAAAAAAAAGGGTCTAGTGCAGTGTTTTACAACATGGTAAATACTGCGGTCCGGGCATAACCACTCGACGTTTTATTGTATCTACAGACGCATATTTGTATATATGTACATACACACACTTATCTTATTTATATTACCAGCGGAACACTATATTTTATGTACCATATGTACCTACTATGTGTACTGTGTACTGTGTATACATGGGTGTACGATGACACTTAATAGAATTAAAAAAATGTTTTGTGAATTTCAAGGATTCGATTCATTAATAATAAGAAAATAGTTGTACATTACATATAAGAATTATACACTAATAAAAAACCTAATAATTCTCCATCACTATTTCTATCGTAGCATGCATATTATAAAATAGCATTATAACGTATTCGATTTATTTTAATAATTGACGGGCAAGAGACTTTTTCTACATTCTACGGGTTTTTTTTATGAAAAATAAAATAAATAACGGAGAGAATTTCCGAGTGGTTTAGTAAAAAAAAAAGAATAAGAAAGAGGGGAAAAAATGAATAAAACGCTGGTCGCGGGGAAAAGCAGAAGATTTATGTGACGGCAAGAACAGACCACCTTCACTCTGCGTGATTTATAACCCAAACGCCATTTTGTTCACGTTCTGAAAAGCACGAACCGTTTATTTCAAAATGGAAATTAAAAATAAATAAGTGAACGAAAACGAGATATATCAATATAAATACCACAAAGAGTACGTATATTGTAATTCGCAAATACAAATAATATAAATAAATTCTCAGAAGATAGTCCAAAAACCAAACGTAGTTGAGCGCCTACAGTAGGTAACATACAATTTACTCGTATATATTCTTATATACTTTCTTCATTTTTATTTTTATACAATAATGCAAAAAGAGACACGTCTAACGGATCATAAATTGTTGTCATTTAATCCCTCAAAGAAACAACATAATATACGAAATTTATTTGTTCATGGCCAATTAATTTGAAATTTACATGTAATTTACATATACCACATTTTTATATTAGCCAAATAATTTGTTATAGTTATGTTTATGGAGACACAAAATAAATCTAGATTCATTCTACGAGTTAAAAGCTTTGTACGTATTATTCGTTTTTTGCTAGGTGTCTTATATGGCTTAGTTGGTTAAATGCACTGTCTTATATTAAATTAACAAATTTCAGTTTATTTATATATTAGAAAATAACATAGATAATAAATGTAGTTACTCCCGTAACATAGTTGTTATGAACTGATGTTCAGCCACATCGGAAAAAAATATATAATGATAATAATTATTATTATTATTGAACTTACTTGGTTTTTATAAAAATTACTTTTTACACATTAATGTTGAACAATTCTTGAAAAAAACCGTGTTTTTTTACTTACCATACATAATGGGTGTTTGCAAACAAAAAGTCACACAATTTTAACAGTAAATTATTTTTAAGGCTGAGAATAACAAACAAACAAAAAACGCATTCGAGAAATAAATCATATCGGCTTACAGGCCTTATCCTTAAAGTAGCTTGGAATTAAAATATAAAGCTAGGGATCATGTATATGGGACACAAGCTATGTAGTACTTTATACCATACACTGTATACTTAATATACTTTTAACGAACACACTTTTATTCAATGTATTTTAACTGAAATTGAGTTTACCATCTTACTTTTTAAAACAACTTATTACAATTTGCCTGTTCACGTTTAATTAGTTTCAACCGTGGTATCTGCGTTAACTCTAATTAGTAGAAAAGCAATTAAGAACATAATTTATTATTAAAGGGTTCTGATTTGTAGAATGTATCTTATATTATTTTAGCTAAATGGATTTAAATCATTACGCTTTCCAATAAATCATTTTTATTATATTGTTTTAATTTTTCCTTTAAAAAAATACACTTAAAATTAGAATACATTTTTAAGAAATTAAACCAATCTATATGCCTCAGATTAATCACAAAATCCTCTTGGTATGTTCAAAATGTCTCTCTCTATTCCGACATCAGCATTGGCGAAAATATGGGGGGCTAGGGTGGGCTTAGCCCCCCAAAAAATAGGTTATGCATACAATTTTGAAATACAAAAATATATTTACTCATATATATATTTTTAAAAAATGTCCAGCCCTCCCAAGTTAAAAATTGAAATTGCGCCTATGAACCTCAGATGGTCTTAACTTGAAGCTAAAACTGTGATGTGTAAAAGACAACTTACTATAGTTACTTACTGGATTGACGGATAGATAAAATGTTAACTGAAAAAAGTCATTGTGTACGCAGTAATGACCAGTAATCAATATTTTTAATACTTTCCTATTAAACAATACATGATCGATTTTATGATGAATCTGTAGATACGGGGTAACTAATTGTAATTTTTCTTTTTTTTATCGTTCAGCATTGCTTTAAAACAATTTTTGATTATTCTATACTCATGTATAGACGTTAGTTTATCAATATTAATGTTTTTCAAGACTTGAAAATAGAAACATTTGTTATTAATTATTATTATTATTTTTTAATCAGGATTTTGAAAGACCCAATCCTAAATTTTCTAGACGTCACAAAGGAATAATTTTGTATACAATAATATGGGTGCTTTTGTCGCGGCTAGGGGAAGACAAAGTGCGATGGTCACGCGGATGTTTTATATAATCAAAGCGCACAAACGGGATTACCACGACGCATTGGGTTGGATAGGAAGCGGGGTAGAAGGAGGATGTCCGTCTCGAATTAGAATAATGTACACCGAAGCCTTATAGCAAGTCACGTGTCTCGCAGCGGAGGAGGGTATACTGTTGCCAGGTTTTGACGAATGACTTCGCTTATGGTCGCGGACAAGTTCAATTAAGTCGGACCCACCGCGGCTGCCACTGGGTCTCTCTTATTGTACCCCACCAACCCCTGTGTATTGCTTCATT